TTGTTTTGTTATTAACAATACTGATTAATTATTCAATGAACTGTGGGTGACGCACGTAAAATTACGTTTGTAATCATTTATTCATAATTGTTTCACGCGAAACGTAGTTTGTAATATGTTTAATCAATGCAGTGTTAAAGCACTTAAAGTGTAATTGATCTCGTAATTATTCAATGCATATTTTTTTTTATCATGGAATATATCGGAGTGATCTTTGGTCATAATTTATTTATATAGTTTTTGTCATCGATTGTTTTTGAACAACCATTTTTAATTTTCTTTGAAATTCGAATAAAAAATTCGGTCGAATGTTTCAGCGGTGTTGAGATAGTTGCTCAACGAATATTGGATCCCTTGATGCACATCGATTTTATAACAGATGCAGCGAAGCGTTTGAGAAGCTATGCTCAATTTGGTCATAATTTATTTCGGAAGGTAGTTTTCAACAGCATTCATTTTGAATTTTAGATTAAATTTCTGGATCGAGTTGATTTGTATAGATTCTCGATGAGAAAGTGAAATTCGGAAGTGATTCATATTCCTTTTTAGAACGATTATTAGACATTTCAACAGAAAATCAAAATTTTACCCATGACGATGTAATCGCTGAAACATCAACAATATTAACCGGCGTAAGTGTTTTTTTTTTTTTTTTGTTAAAAAAGATTTCGAGAATCGAATAATTGTTTTTAAAAGTTCTTAGGCAACTGACACATCAACCGCTGCATCAGCATTTGTTGCTGTCATGTTAACTCTTCATCCAGAATATCAAGAGAAAGTATTTCAAGAAATTTTAACGGTGATGCCACACATAGATACCGAATTAACAAAAGCGGATCTTGATAAACTCGAATTTATCGATTTATGTATTCGAGAGACATTGCGAATATTTCCAACTGCTCCAATTATCGCCCGTACTTCAATCAAACCGATAAAATTGAATAATAATGTTGAAATTCCGCCCGATGTACCAATTGTATTTGGAATACGTCAACTTCACATTCGTGAAGAATACTATGGGCCAACATCAAGAATATTCAGTCCATATCGATTTATGGATGAAAAAGTAAAAACTCTACCAAGCAGCGCTTATGTCCCATTCAGTTACGGTGCGAGAAATTGTATTGGTACGTTATTTATTGCATGGATAAAATTTGTATATTAATCTATCAATATTAAATACTTTCTGTTATGAAAAAAAAACTCTTCAAATTGAATTAAAATTTACAAGCGTTCTGGTTTCAGGTTATTTTTATGCAAAAGTGTCGGTGAAGTGTTGTGTCGTGCACTTGATCCGGAATTATCGACTCACCACAATCTACAAAAACATTGATGAAATGAAACCGGTGCTTAATGTGAGCATGCGATTAATCGATAAGAACATGGTAATACTGGAGCGTAGAAAATGAAACAACAGAAACAATAAAAATGCACTTGCAACGATTATTGATGTAATGCGGGTATGCGGTTAAGCTGAATGGCAACAATCGATATAATTGCAGCAAATGCTGTCACTATATGCTTGCACATATCTAGCGATAAAAAAAATTAATAACACGCAGTAAATCATCGATGATAACCATAATTATTGTCATAAAAGGCGTTACTTTTCTATCGCTCTCTCTATCTTCCCATAAAACAGAACCATACGATAAAAAATAACAACAAGAAATTATATATACTCACTTGTGAAATTATACTCAATAAATTTTTAACTAACTTAAAACAAGGAACCTCTTTGTTTCCACTTTTTACTACTGCATTTTATGTACGTCGAAATATGATTTGAACAAAAAATGCCATCGCCCTTCATTCTTTTCCGTTCTTTTATTTATGACTGTTTTATACGACATTAAAAATCTGTTCATATATTATCGTTTCATTTGATATTGCCGCAATTTTGACATTTTAGGCTTATACATTCAAACGAGATTTTTTTGAAACTCAATGTTCAAATGAAATTATAGAAAATTGACCTACCTTATTTCCGATAATTTGCCAAAGTATAAAGAGAAAGAACACGTGAATCATGTATGTCAAATGTAGTTCGCTTTATTTCTTCTTAATAAATCCTTAATTTCAAAATTAATTCACAAATGTCCTTCTTAAATCTTATTTCAGCCCAATGAATCTGTTCAGTTTTATCCAGCATGTACACTTTTCATAGAATTATTGATCACGTTTGTTGCACGTTCCATGGAATTTCGTCGCAAATACGCCAGCTAGTAGGTTAAACGATTTGCTGTTTCATTCTTGGATAACGAAGCATCGGTTGTGACAGTTTCGCATACTTTGAGTCCAAATGCTTTCGAGGGACAATTTTCATTAAAACTGTCTGTATCTACAAGAATTCGGAGTGATTTTATTTTTTCTGGTTCGACCACCAGCTGGCGGCAAAAATTTGGGTTTCATTCTATAATTCTCTGAAGAGTATTAGCATTGAGATAGAGAATACTACAAGAACAATTGTAACAATTTAATTAAGGTTTTGATGATGTTTCTATATTATATTGTGCACTTCCAACATTTATAATAGATATATACTCTGTGCCAGCAGTGGCGTATTTCAGTTATGTATTTTAGTTTTGATTATATTTCATTTAACATTAACGCGGTGTTGTATTTCTAATATAATAATAATACTTTGTTTCTGACTTTTGTGCCAATTACCCGAAGTTCACATGTGCATCTCTATCGCGGATATGCTCATATTGACGATATGTTACTTCATTTGATTCAGCGTAAACGCAAGTTTGTGGTACGGCGGTTTTTGTAGTTTGAATGTTTTGTGAACATAATTTTAGTTGTTTTATCGAAAGAAAAAAATCTGTTAATACTTCTCCACATTTTCCGACAAATATTATAATACATGTGCACAACCGAGATTTTGTGGTTGGAAACTTTTCTAGTTGCTCTTTTAATGCATATATATTTACTAAATTCATAAAAGAATCGTTACATTTACCGTGTATTAACCGAATACACAATTATAATACGGTTTCGGGTGAATTAAGTTTATGTTTTTTGTGGCAAAGTGAACGAGAAAAAAAGTGCACAACTTTTCGCATAGATTATCTTTAT